TCCACCCCAACTGCAAGAACTGCTGGGCCATCAGATGAGCAGTGATTTACTGGTAGTTTTCCCTGCAAGCTGCATGGGAGGTGGAAAGGCAGCAGAGCAGGCAACACACAATAAGGGGACATCAGGCAAAGAAAGCACTGTGCAAAACTCACAGTGCACAGTGGCTTTTCTCTAAATAACATATGAATGCCTTGGCACTCTACTGCTTTAAGCAAGGGGAGGTTTTTATCAAGGAGAGTGGGAATATTTTTCACTGCTCCAGTTCATACAAATGGAAAAATGTAGGCACTCTTTCAGACACACTCTTTCAGACGCACCAGATCAGTATCTGCTGGACCAGTAAAATATTTCATTTCTTCCTACAATTCCTTACTCCTTCCCACCTGTGAGCAAGATACTCCCACCTACAAGTTACAAAAAGAGCATTTTCAGCTTGAAAACTGCACTGTCTCTTTGTAACATTTGCTATCATATTGCTCTTTAATATCTTATATTAGTTACAAACAGTAAGAGCTGCAGTGATATGGAACTTCCCACTGAAACAGAGAAGCTAGAAAAAGGCCTGGATCATTACATTCCTATCCAGGCACACGTAGGAATTATCATTTTGTTAAGTAATCAGTAAACCCATAGTGTTTGAGAGCTAGTTATAATTTCCAAAAACTTCACTCATCTACCTCTGGCTGTCCTTGGACACCAAGGGGCTACTGCTGCCAGGGAGATGCCTATGATTTGTGAAGCAGGGGGTCCTGCTGATAAACTGTAGGAAATCACATAAGGTTTCACCTGAAGGGCTAATATATATGAAAGGCGGGAGTCAAGTACACACATATGTATTTCTTTTTTTACAGAGAACATAAATTTCTGGGGTATCCAGCTTTCTCTTCTCAATATTCACATCTAAATCTCTCCTTGCCAACACGACACACACTAAACGGCAGCAGTTTCGATCTCAGCACAATGTAGGGGAAAATAACCACTTATATATACTATGCACTTCGTAAGGCAAAAGATCCACCAGCCTTGCAAGTGGTGCAAACTAAAACACAGTCTTCATATAAGAGTCATAGAATTGTGACATAAATACTGATTTAATTGTCTGAATCCTGTGATCATTCTTTATAATTATTATATTGATTTATTTTACATACCCCTTTCAAACTAAAAGATTATTATTCTATATGGCAGAAATTATGCATTTTGGAAACACTGCTGCTTATTTCAGGTAGATTGTCTTTTAAATTTCATTCTTTTTGAACACTTAACTACAAAAGAAAATGTCACCAGCACATATGTCTTTTGGTCTTTTCTTATTATGACTTTTCCAGATCTTTCTATGGCACTGTTGTAGCAGCCTTAGTTTTCTTCTACCCTTGCTCTATTCACAGGCTGTTACTGTAATTTCTGCCTTCCCAAAGCTGACTGACAGCTTCCTTTTATGAGAGACAAGTAATTTCCCCCCAGAAAAAGATCTAAAAATGTATCTGAGACAGATAGAGTGCTCACTGATGTCTGCAAAACAGTAGGACAGTAAGTTATGTAGCAGACAGCCAGGCATTTGGCGTTTGGCTCCCTGTCACATGAAGCATCAGATCATGAATCTGTGCACCTCCTCCTCTTCCTCCACCCAGAGCCCCCCATCCACACAGCTCGGGTTAAAGTGATCCTGGCCCGTGAGGTCAGCTCAGCCAACAGAAGTGGAGTTAGTGGGAGGTTGCGTTAGGTCAGGTGAACCATCCAGGTACTCTTCAACCCTCCTGGTCCAGTGTTCCCCAGCAGCAGAGTAACAGCTTGGCCACTGCCTCTCCTTACTCTGTGGGCTAAGGTTCACGTAAGCAGGCTGGGATTTGGGAATTGTAAATCTTGGACATGGTTTTCTACCACTGAGGCTTAAGAGGAAGAGAGATGATATTCTGGGTGAGTGGGCACAGGAAAACTCATTCACTCATTCAAAGTTTTGCTTCCTCTCCTAGTACTGGAAGGAGAAAAGCAGATTCAGCCCAGCATAGGCATAGTGGAGGAGGTCTTTAGGTTTTCGTTTGTATAAAAAAAGGTAGAGGGAACCAGTGGACCACAGGCAAGTGTGTATCCATGTTCTGAACTTCCTGCATTTTTGTCCTCTGGGTAATCAATTTCTCACTAGATCAAGAGTTTCCTTTTCTGGCCAGATTGCTCTATCTTGACTCATGCCAGAAAAAAAAAAGAACAGTGCTTATAATGCTAAACAGCAAAAAGGATAAAATCTGTATGTGCAAAGCATAGTATGAGGTGAAGGTCCCTTTAATCCCCTATATATCCCAGCACATCTAATGATTTATTTGCCTTCCCAGCAATGTCTTGACTGTTCCATTCCCATTTAATGACTTCAGTCAGTGTGAGCGCTGCGGTGCCTGTTCATGACTGCTATGTACTGGGTTCCTGCAGAGCACAACTCACTGAGAAGGAGCAATGCAAGTTTGAAATCTCTGCCTTGTCTCTTGGCCTTCCACTCAGCCCCTAGTGCCTTCCTCTTCAAGTAAGAGATTAGTTCAGGCATGAACTTGCTTTGAACCCCTCTCGGCTAGGTTTACCTGTGGTGAAAGAAGCTTGCAGATTTGGCATGATACAGAATCTGATTAATGGGCCCTGTGGTAAGTCCACGTCTCTTTTCATGTCCTAGTCACTAATGATGACCCCCAAGAGGTAATGGCTCTTGCTCTCTCCCAATCCAAGCAGCCCGAACAGCCCACGTATCAAAGTGTCTGTGCAGAACAACCAGTTCTCTGAGCAATTTGCACTCTGCTATTGCAGATGTCAAGTTAACGTTTTTGGCTTGGAAATTTTATTAAATGTGTAATTTAAAAGACGAATTAGAACAAAAGATGTAATTCATTCAGTTGAGTCGTGAACAAATAGAAATCTGCATATTGGTGAAGGCTGATTTAATACCAGCCTTGTAATTTTCCCAAGCCTATAATCACAGCTCCAGATTTGACAGACTAACCTTTCCCAGGGAGAGAGCTGATTCTGTCTCCATGGTAGCCAAGTTTTAAAGCAGAGAATGGTGATTGAGTCCTGGGGAGATAAGGTCATATGTGTGGAATTACCCTGGATTGTAAATCATCGTGTGGAATTAATGTGAATTCAGCTACGACACTGTATGATCACAGATATGAATAGTACAGCAACTGCTTAAAGATTCTCTTTAAAGAACCTTTATCATTCAAAAATCTAGAGGACAATTCTTAATATAATTTACAACAATACATTAATAATAATATTATTATATGATTAGAGAAAATATCTTTTATTAAGTCTCTTCAAACTCTCTTTAAAACATTCTTTTTTTCTGAACAGCTTCTATATTTATGCTATCCCCAAATGACATAAAGAAAAGTCACCAGTCACTCCATTTGTCTTTCCTTTGCTTAACTCTCTAGTGTGAATTAGGCATCACTTTTAACTTCCCCCTTTAGCAAGGTAACAGAGTGGCTGGACCAATCTTATACTCTCTATTTCTGATTCCCCAACTACACTAATGGGCTTTAAAATGACCAGGCTTAGTATAGCTATACTTCTTTTTGAGCTAAGGGAGGTATAGATGTTTCTATAAAGAAAGTTGCAGGCAAGAAGATAAACTGAACATGGAAAAAGGACCTCACTCATTTTTGTACTTACTAAAATCTGAACAGTGTTGAAGAACGGCTTCAAAATGCACACCCAAGCTGTTTCTTCTTCCAGTGCAAGGCCCTCATATACTACTTACCTGTGTTTCATATTCACTAGACAGAAAGTCATAAAAATAATGCAACTTCAATCACTGCACAGTAGAATATAAATGCTAATAAAGGAAGCACCATGCCCCACATAGGCTATATCTCTATAACTCAGAGTAGAAAAATGATTGAAAATTGGTTTCAGAATCCCAACCAAGAAAGTATAACTGACACTTGACAATTAGTCATTTTGACTTCCAAGAGATCTTTCTACATTATAAAATGCCATATAGAAGCAACAAGCAGACATACAAGTGTATTTAGCATTGAAAAAGCCTAATGAGCAACAATAACACATAGAAATTATCCTTGGTTGCTGAGTTCCAGTAGAGCTCCTAAAACACCCAGAAAGATCTCTTCACTATGAATTAATCACGTTGAATTAAGGGCATATTTGGTTTTCAGTTCCTCTGGAACTGACTCAACTGCTGTGTGGTTTAGATCAAGCTATGGGGCTTTCCAGCCACCTTTCCTTTGTCTGCCTCACAGTGGGGTTAGGTGCCTGCAAAGGTAGATGCCTTTGTCCTCTTTGTCTGTCTAGTTCCTAATAGCCATATATGTGTTGGTGAATACTGGATTTTAATATATAGTATAAGCGTATATTAAACATAACATTAGAGATGCTCATATCTAACTCAAAAAAAAAAAAAACTTTTAATTGAGATCAATTAATAATTTCACCAAATATCAGTACCATTTATTTCATGCATATTCTAGTATGCAACCATGCTTTTCTGTAATTTGCCTTTTCTCTTTTATAGCAATGACTTCAACTCAGTGAAAATAACTCCTGGGCACAGATTAACTGGGGAGCTTAGGGGGCTGAATGTGGCTGTGCAGACCTTCCTATTTTAGACCCAGCTTGCATCTAGCCTTTGTACACTTCTCATAGTATCTTCTCTGCTTTCTGCTTCACATTTCCCCTGAAAACTCAGAATCACAGAGCAGCTGAGGTTGGAAGGGACCTCTAGGGATAATATAGTGCCGTGTTCCAGCAGGGACCCCTAGAGCATGTAGCACAGGGCGGCATCCAGGCAGGTTTTGAAGATCTCCAGAGGAGACTCCACAACCTCTCTGGGCAGCCTGTTCCAGGGCTCTGTCACCCTCACAGTAAAGAAGTTCTTCCTCACATGAAGATGAAACTTCCTGTGTTTCAGCTTGTACCCATTACCCCTTGTCCTATCACTGGCCACCACAGAGAAGAGTTTAGCCTCATCTTCTTTACATTCCCCCCTCAGGTGTTTGTACATGTTGATAAGATCCCCTCTCAGCCTTCTCTTCTCTAAGCTAAACAGGCCCAGCTCACTTAGTCTTTCCTCATATGACAAATGCTCCAGCCCCTTAATCATCTTTGTGGCTCTCCGCCGGACCCTCTCTAGAAGCTTAGTGTCTTCCTTGTCCTGTGGAGCCCAGAACTGCACCCAATACTCCATGTGCAGCCTCACCAGGGCTGGGTAGAGGGGCAGGATCCCCTCCCTTGACCTGCTGGCAACGCTCCTCATGCAGGCCAGGATTCCACTGGCCTTCTTGGCCATGAGGGCACACTGCTGCCTCATGGTTAACCTGTTGTCAACCAGAAATCCCAAATCCCTGTTTGCAGAGCTGCTTTCCAGCAGGTCACACCTTCCTCCGTAGCTGATGAATAAGATAGTTTTATAATAGTGTTTGCATCTAAGATACATCATTAGGACTGTGACTTTTTTCTTTTAAACATCTTTAACTATTGCTAGTTCTTGGGTTTATTTTCCCATAGGTTTTACACAGCCATCACTACAACACAGAGTACAGAATTGTGTCCTCACAATCCACTAATGACAATTCCATTCATGATTACTACTGCTTTTGGTGAAAAATGTATTTGAAGAAAGTAGAGCACTTTCTTTAGGCAATGCTTGGCTGGTTTTATGAAAGGGGCATGGTCCACTGCTTAGGGCATAATATTTAGTGGAAAGAACTTAAAGGTGAATGAAATGCAATGCAGGACTGAGAAACTTCACCCAGCAGCCAGACTATGCAGGCCTATAAAATCAGACTAAAATATAGCCATTTGGGAAACAGAAACAAAACATCCCAAAAACTGAACAAAACTAAACACATTTTTGTGATTGAACCACTTTGCTAATTATTTAATGGCCCAAATAAATGCTCTAGTTGGTGTAAAATAATTAAAATAAAGTTCACAGTGATGAACTTCCTATAAGGCTTTATAGTATTATTTTTTCTCTATCCATGTAAGAATTATACTTTCTTATAAAATCACAGAAGAAATACGCTTTAGGCCATTTTTTCCCTTTCATTTTAAGCTGACATTAAATAGTGCAAAGCATTGCAACACACAGAAATAATACTTTGCTTTTGGGTAGTGCCTCCTAGCAGATGATCTCATTGTGGTTTTGCAGATTTCCACATCTCTCAACATCATGGAGCTTATTGGATTGCCTTCTGTAGATCACTTTGTACGAACTAAGTATAAAAAATGACCTCAAAGATGAGAGAATTTCCTTGCCCCAGAGAATTAGGCACTAATAGAAAACTGGTAGTGATAGTTGGAGATGTTCCTTGCCCAGGTCCACACTCTTTTTTTTTTTCAAAAAGGCTCACTAGAAAGTGCATTGATACGTATTTCAGTTGATCAAACACGCCCACTGGACGTAGGTTACCTCTGCTTTTTTGCAGTTTCCTGTCCTGTAAGCACCAAAGATAATAAACCTCTCCTAGGTCCCAAGCAGCAGTTCACCCTTCCTTTTCACAGTTATTATTAGAACTCAGAACTGCCAGAAATTCATTTTTTTTCTGAGAAGAGAATTCCTGATTGCCTCAGAGAAAGGAAGTAAAATAACTCAGTCTTTTGACAGATGTAAGGACAAAACAGAAACTGAAAATACTTCTGCCTTTATGCTGTCTTATCTCATGAAGAGTTAGCCATTAATATTATGAGACAGTTCCGTTGTTTATTGTTTCTCAATTCACATTCAGCTAATGTTAGTATGATTTCTTATAAGGGATTGAATCTTTCAAGAGATTTTCTTATGTCACTCCCATTGTCTCTCTCTGAGAGTTTGGGGAAGAATTTAGTGGCAATGAAAAGAATTCAGATGACTAACGAAAAGCACAATGCTGTTTGGATACATTTTGTTCCACCTCGGACTATGCCGTCATAGAAACCCAGTGAAATACATGCCGTTACTTTCACTGTTAAACGTGCGTGCCGGACCTCTGCCTGCTCACAGACATGCTCCTCCCTGCAGGTGATGCAGCAGAAGAGATTGACCTGACTGTGGTTTATCAAGCAGCAGCCAACGGCGATGTGAACACCCTGACTGCGGTGATCCGAGAAGATCCTTCCATCCTGGAATGCTGCGACAGCGAGGGTCAGTGAGCTCTGTGCTCCTTCCCAGGGGCCTCAGTGCTGCAGATTGCAATTGTGTTGTAATCTTTTTCCTTTTCTTTTTTATCCTAGTTTTCATGTTCAGCAAATTATTTACAGTAGCAGCAAGTGGGAAAATTGACTTGTTCTTTGGAATATCCACTGGAAATACATACTTTGGATACTTCTCTCCCCATCTGAATATATGATATTTTATTCAGGCACAAGATAAACTGATATAATCGGATGGTACTTTACCATGAATCTACCTTATCTTCTTTAAAGGGGTAATGCTGTCATTTCAGAAAAAAAAAAAAAGAAGAAGAAGAAGAATCTTTTTTACCAGAGCCAAATGCTGTACATTCTGGGCATCTTAGAGCAAAGAGCTACAGTCCTTTGCACTTAAGATGTCTGCATAGACACAAACAGATTTGAAAGAATTTGCCATGTAATAGTTAGCCAAAGGGATAAGTGCACATCTGCATTGAACTAAATGATCTCTTTTATCACTGAGACTGCATTCTTTTTCCATTTGTACTCAGGCTCCTATATCATACTATCACAAAGTGCTATCAATTTGCTGGGTTTTATATGCATCTATTTCCCAAGCAATTAGAAACACACATCTCTGAAAGTTTCACTTGAGAAATATTCAAGAGTATTTTCACTGCAGCTTCTTTTTACAGGATTCATATGAGCAGTGCATATTCTAATCTTTACCAGCTTTTACCGGGTTATAAACTTTTCCTGCACTTAATTCAGACATCTTAACTGTTATGTTCACGATGTATTTGTCAGTGGAGAAAACGAGCACCCACTCAAGCTGACATCTCAGTCTTAATGGCAGAGGGACTGGATGTAAGAAGAAAAATTAAGAAGAATTAAGAAATACGAAGAATTATATATTATAAGAAGATAGCATAATACTTCATGATGAAATTTGAATAGTAAGTTTTCACAGCTTATCCAGCTTTCACAGTTTATCCAGCAAATGGTTTGCCGAATGCAGAGTAAGTTCTGAAGGTGGGAGAAAATGCTCTAGAGCAAGGCAAGTCAACAACAAAAAGAATTTGTTGCCCACCTAAAACATCAACTCAAATATACATTCCTTTGCATGGTACAGGGCTTCGTTTCACACATCTTTTGAATATAGAGAGATAGCATGAAGCTGTGGTTTGAGAAGCGCAGCCAAGCACTTGGCTACTATTCACTTTGAAGCTTATCAACCTTCAATATGGTACACAAACCCTACCGTTCATGCTGGGTTCATCAACAGAAAAACAATTTTCCCTCCAAAAGGAGAGTTAATGAGATGAGACTTCTGTAATGAAGTCATGTTTTTTTAAAAAAATCACTGGTCATCTAGTTGGCGTGGAAGTTACTTCCCGCCTGCAAAAAAACATGAGTGCAGCTATTGGACATTTGTCAGAGAAATGATGTGTTAATTTGCTGTTGCAAAATTTTGCAACAGTAAAAAAGTATCTTTATATTGTGCCTTTGACAAAATAAAGATTGTAAGAGAATGTCTGGCTTTCTTCTCCAGGTTGCACACCTTTGATGCATGCTGTGTCAGGATGCCAGGTTGATACAGTGAAGCTTCTACTGAAGATGGGAGCAAATATTAATACTCAAGATGCTTATGGATGAACCAGTTTATCTCTGGCAACTTATCTGGTACAAAGACTTGGGCAAGGAAGATGAAAAGACAGATGCTCATACTACAGCAGGAAAAAAAAGTACAAAACATAGTTCTAGACAATAATGAATATTTAACCTCTGCTATAACTCAAGGCAGGGAGCAACTATTGCAAGAAAATCATCAGGACTCTTTGCAGAGTGTCCTTTCTCCTATGGGTTGTACAAATCAGTGCATGGTATGGGACTCTTACTAGCCCCAGTGGCCTCTATGTGGGTTCAGGAAAGCCACTGGTTTCCTGTGCACTGGGAAAGGACTTTAAGTCCTCTCCTATCTTCTAGTATGGAAATTATTTCTCCCGTCTCAATTTAGCATCAGATTTCTGAGCTCCAGGGAGGGCATCACCGACAGGATGGGACCAAGTCAGCAGCAAAGAGGGGTTGACCATGACCTTCCTTTATTAGCTGGAAAGAAGGGAGGAAGGAACATTTACCCATGCTGCATGGTATGAGTTATTGCTGGATAATTGCCAGTTCATTGAATAAATAAATGGATAAAGTGGTGCCTAATTAAATCACATCCCTTACATCTAGTTTCTTCCTGCATACTCAGGACAAAAACAATGCTTCAGCTCAGCTACAGGACATTCAGCCAGAAAATAAGTGTAGAAGGTAACAAAAGACGCAGTCTCATCCAATATAAAGCGCATGTCCCACTTACTTGAGAACAAACATTTCCTTTGCCAGATATTTTTAAAAAATCCCACAATCAGTGTCATGCTACATTTCTCCTTCCTCTTCTCCCAGAGGGGAAAAATTATTCTCTGGAAAAGAAAAAGAAATGACTGGAAAAGACTTTAGCCACCCAGGCTTCAAAGTTTCCATTTCTGTTTTTATGATGGATATAATCTGAGGTCTAGAGAGCATTTGGCTGTGATGCCTGCCCAGAGAATTGAATTCAACTGGATTCCATAGTCACAGTTTCACACAGAATCCAACTGCCTTATAATTCCCTGGGAGCACCAACAAGCATGTTCTAGCTCCCTCATTCCACCCCGTTTCCTTGTAAAGGGTGGTGCTGCCAGTCTGACTGGGGCTGTCCAGGAGGGAGTGTTCTTTAGAGATGGCTTGCAGAACTTGGAGCGAAAAACTTAAAAACATGCTGGACTTCCCCGCAATGAGGCATATGCTGAAAGATTTACCCAAGTACAACCAGATTGCTTACTTGCTTTTGTTTGGGTGATCAATAGACGGTTTTATTCCAAGAACCATCTCATCTGTTTTGGTGCTGTTTTTAGTCTAACTTTTTCACTAATTCAGAGTTCTGTAGCAAAGTTTAAAAGACCACATTCTGAGTCTTTTCAGAATTGATTTACCATCTGTGCTAAATTTGCTTAAAAAAATGAGATTAGGTGCTCATGCTCTTGGTTTAGCCTGGCATAATGAAATCCACATGCAGGATATGTGGCATATGTGGGGCATTTGCCAGTGATACAAGAATTAACAGCTTTCAAATCACTTTTTTTTTCTCCCTGCCACAGCTTTAGAAAAGTCTGAGCATAGTGTAAATAACCACTTTATCACAAAAATGAATGGGTCAGCCAGTTTGAGCCTCACACTCCAAATGGGAACCACACTTGGTGCCGAGACCTCTTTTGGCGGAAAAAAAGGCCCGTTCTTCAAGTGGTCGAAACGGCTCTAGTCCCACACTGAAGACACACACACTAAGCAGGGGTCTGGCCTGATGTGCTCTATTTTCCTCTTTGACATATCATTTCTTTTTTAGGGCTGGCTAGAAGGCTGTGTCAGCCTGCTCAGAAATGGTGCTAGACAGAACATACCGGATAAAAACGGAAGATTGCCACTACATGCTGCTACTGCAGAGCCCGATGTGAGGTACGTCCCGGGCTCCAGCAGTGCTTAATGTTCGAATATCAAAAGATGGCCACGAAAGAAGCTTCCTGGCACCAAGGAAAACACAGGCCAGGAAAGTGGGACAGTTATCCTTGCAAATTGTTCTTTTGCTTAACAGTTACCATAAAGGGAGTAGTGAGGAGGAAAAGCTTTGTACAGTATTTCTATAAGATAAATATTTGGCCAAGAAAGGTAGGAAGTCTGATTTGAGATCTCAACAGTAGGATAAGCAAACAAACAAACAAAACCAAAACCAAACAGCATTATAGTAGAAGTTGAAACTCTACATTTCCCTTGACCAAGTACCCTTTTGGCACCTCTCCACAAGAAATATTACAGAAAGCTGTTCGTTTGGTCATCTTCTCTCATGAGGGTGAGAAAAATTTTTTCACAATACCAACTCTTTGAGAGCCCCCACGGTAAAGGGGAAGCTGAGGTTTGGTTTTTCATTTTTAGCTGCTCTTAATGAAGGCTGACTAGCAAACAAAGTATTTCTTCGTATACTCTTCATTCTCATCCCAAGAAGACGAGATTTCTCATTCTAGCCTACGATAATAGGAAAGCTGACAAAATTTTAAGTCGTGTTTTATACATCTGAATAAATTCACTCAAAACCTTTCCTAATTAAATCATGTCTAGAGGGATAAGGAGACAGAGAAGTAAAATATTCAGTGAATGCAAATGTTCATCTGACCTAATCACTGATGCTATGGTGTTTCTGTTGCCACCAGCCCAAAGCTCCCTGCATTTCTGCTCATCTTGCTCTTCACCCTCTTTTCAATTTCGATTTTCCACCTTCATTGCTGCTTTTCATGCATCACTTAGAAGGAATAGCTGGGGGTTTCTGCACAAGTATCAGCGCATTATCATTAAACAAAGCCTATACAGAAAGAAGACAAGGTCTGTGCAATACTAGGCATGTTGCTATTTAAGAGGAACTGCAATATATTTTAGCAGCAGCATGCAGAGTTCCCTGGATGTTTTTTTCATGTTCCCCATAGTCACCTTTGCTCTGGCCAGTTTACCAGCTGCCCAGCTCCTTTGCGTCTGTCTTCTACCTGGGTTCACCTCGTGCCCAGAACATGCAGCTGGAGCAGCAGGGGTAATTTTTGATCACAGTCGTCACTCTCATAAGTCCCAAGTCATGACAAAAGGGCACGTGTGGTGGCCAGCTATGAAACGCTTTTTCAGCCAAACTTAAAAGCTGGTGGCCCATTTGTACAGGTCCATGTGTTGGGGGCAGCAAATAGATCGTACGGAAGGACAGAGACAGAAGTCACCCGAGTTACGGTCACTTATCACGCAGTGCATGTTCCATACAGCCTAGGAGAAATGGTAAAAACGAAATCCATAGGCTCCCTGACCTCTAGCTACAAAACGTATATCTAAAAGTAGTAGAGGATTCTCAGCTGGGCTGGCTGAATATCCAGATATTTGAGTGGTAGCAATACTATGGTTTGATGATGGTCTGAAGATAAGAGTGAGTCAAGGTTTGTAGATAAAGGATTTAAAAGAACGATATGAGTTTTTCACATATATTTGTTTCATTTATGATATCTGGAGTTAAACTGCAAAGCCATGTAAAGGATTGTAATGGCCAGTGATACGTGGATTTTTCAAGCATATTACAGTTACTTTGTCTTTTTCCTGCTCACTGTTCTGTTTTTACCCAGACTTGCTTCAGACACTGAATTTCTAAAATTCTGGTTTAATTTATTGTGCCAATTGACCATAAAATATCTCCTTCCTTTTACAATTTTTACATACTAATTACAGCAATTCTACAGCATCTGTCCTCCTTTGGGACTCTATTATGATGTGTCTTTCAGAAAAGAAGGTTTCACACCTCTTTTCTACAGGTGATTGTAACCACAAATAAATGGAGTTGGATTCCTAATAAAACACTGGGATATTCCCAGTCTTCATTCTTTAGGGATTTTCAGTTAGAAAAAATAATTCCATTTGGACTTCTGCCACCTAAACATGATATTAGAAAACAGATCAGCTTTTCACCTTCAAAATGACCCAAATCATCCCTAAGTGATTTGGAATGTCTTCCTTCCAAATAATTTACACTATCTAGTTTTTTATTACTGAAAAAAAACAAACACAAGTAGATTTATCTTACATCTTCTGAGGTCAGCCTGATGATCACTCCTGAGCACAGTCCAGAAAATGTACTGAAAGCAACTGAAGATTGTCCTGTTTTTTTTTAAAGCAGTACAAGATTTGCTTTCAGTCTCCTTTGAGTGGAAATAAAAGCATAATTGCAAACATTTAACTATATAAAATTTACAGACTCAAGGAGCGATTGTACTTGTTGCTGTCTAATGAAACACAAAATCTTCAGAATTGAAGAAAAAGCATTTTTTTCCCACCTGTGAAGTACTGCCTCTGCATTTTGTATTTGTTATTTAGAGTACTTTATCTATTAATCTCCTTGCAAAACCATGTGCTGCTTACAAATCCATGCTTTGAAGGTTCTTAACAAACTTACACCATCAGATGAGCCACAGCCACTCACGTGCATTGTGATCCTGATCCTACACAGGGATGTGCTAAGGACAGATCATTCCACGTATTAGACTCGTAAGAACTGTACATTCAGCATCTGTGCCACTTGACTTTGTCACAGGCTGTGGCAGGATGGTCCTTGTCATTTCTACGGTCCACCCACCTGCCTGGTCCAAATACTTTACATTCTTTTGTAAGACAAAATGACTTTCTCCAAACCTGCTGTGATTTCAGCACATCTTCACAGGACTACATAAGGATAAGAAAAGCACTGAAAATCCATTACAAATATCTACTGATTGCTAAAAAATTTATTCTACATGAACAGTAATTGGTGTGTCATCATTTTCTGTAATAGTTCCCTCCACCAGAGGGGAGTGTTTGTAGTCTGATTTTCTACAGAAATGTGAACCAAAGTGTTGCTAATTTTTTTACCATAGCGATGGCCTTATTCCAGTAGACACAGAGTAAGACTTTGTAAAATCACTTTGGTTTGTGTGCGTGTAAACATGCATGCATGTATGTACCCACAAATACATACAAAACATGTATGAAAAACTATGTTACTTTCAGTCAAAAAGTTTGAAAACTCAGGTTAGAAATAGGTCATTACTATTTCTGTTTGTTTAACACTTCATAATTTGCTATTACAATGAATTTCTAAGTTACAGAGATCTGCACGTGTGCATAGTATTACACATCCTGACTCCCCTCTGGCAATCAGCCTAAGAATTCTTCCCTGTGTATCTGCTTTTGATTCGCTGTGGTAATTTTATGTCATTACAGAAAGCCATAATTTTTGCTTTTTTGCTTTTTTCTGTTATTACCAAACCCAAGACTCTGACCTGTGCCCACAACTAATACTGATTTTGCTTTAAATTGCATGTTTTGTTTCTCAAAAAATGACAGTTTTTCAGATTTAGTCAGGAGTGCAGCACACTGAATTATGTCATTGCTTCTGCAGGCTTCTGAATGTGCTTCTGCAGCAGTCAAATCTTAGCAAAATTAATCATCAGGACAATGAGGTGAGTGAGCTTACACTGCAGGTCCCAGTCCCGCTCTCTGAAGTCATACTGTTCATTCTGTGCAGAAAGAAACCGCAGAATCACCAGTTTTATGGTGAGACTATGCCCAAACCTAAGATTTCCCTAATGCCCTTACTGAACTTTGCAAAGCCTTGTTTCATTTTTCATGCTATGTGTGATGCACCTATAGACTCACTTCTGTATATACTGCCAACCAGGAGGTACCTTGGAAAATTCTCTTAACTGACTTGCCAGGGCACAAATTGCTTTTGATTCTTCTGAAGTCAGATCCTGGAGTGAATGTTTACCTTGTCCAAACTCCTTGCCATTAAAGAATTAACAGTTCTCAGGGAGAATATGAGAAACCTGGTATAGCATGGAACAGCTATGGAGCTACAAAAATGATGCTAGGTTACTCTGATCCTGAAAGAATTGTGTCCTGCATACTTATGTATCCATACTGTGCACAGGGGAGTCTCAATTTTCTGGATGTGACTGTTTCTCCAAATAAGGAAGCCAAGGCACAAGAGAGACTCTGGCTGCTTTTCCATGTTTCTCTTCACTCCAGCATTTGCTCAAGGATGCTTCTCCACTCCAGAGCACCAGAGCTGCAGAGCCCACCACAGGGCTGCTAATTGTATCTCTCCCCACCTACCACTCCCTTATCTACTGGATATTTTGCATACCTTCCTTACAGTAGCCTAAGACAGACACAGAATTTGTCTTCACACAGTTATGTTGCTAACAAATTATATCAAACTCTGGTTGGCACTTTCAATCTGTGATGTTTTGCTGCATCCACCAATAAATGAAATTTAGACCTTTTAGTCTAGCTCACTGTCATCTAGCACTAAGAAGGTATTTATCTGTTCAAGTATCATTCCTAAACCCTGAATATTTATGTTTTCTGAAAAATGTGAGTCTTCGCAATGGATTTCAGTTAATAAAGCTAGTCTCTTGGTATAAGGAAAACTCTTGAGAAAAACAGCCCAATGAATTCATGAACACGTAAGCACTAAGACATACATCTGGAAGTTTCACAGTTTTTACAACTGTGGTTTTCTGTGTGTTTACTGATGAAGCCTGTGAGATGACAATGTGAACATACATTCCCTGAAGAAGCCCGGAATCTGGGCAAAATCAGTATCATAGCGTACACTTCTCAAACGCAAATGAATGTTTTGCCTGCTACTTCAGGTCCTTTTCTGGATTTCACTCTTCTATGGTTAATGCCCATCATCCATAACTATCCCTTATTTTTGTTGTTGTTGGTTTTTGTCCCCTCTTGATCCTTGTTTTCATAGACATTCAATTGTGTGTCTTTCTTTTTTTGCTGGAACTTCAAGCTCTTCTTCAGGCTCTTCGGTGGTTCTGACATAGTCCTCATGCTTCAGCCCTCGAGCAGTCGCCCTCAGCAGCTGCCCTGTAAGGCTGCTCCCACTGCA